GTTGTCGTGCGTGCTCGTGCGTGCGTCGCGTGGCCCGGCGTGTGTATTATTCTCAGCGGGACGGGCTTGTTTGGCACGCCGGGTAACGCCTGTCACCGCGTAAAGACCATGGGATCGTTGTCGATACATTTAAAATAAATTGTCTTATATATTTTTTTCTAATCTGATTTTAATTCTGTAGCAGTTAGCGCGCATAGTCGTGTACTGATACGATGGACCTGACAACGCGGACCCCAGGAACGTATAATAAAAAAACCTGGAGCGCAGTCGAACCGTGATAGGGACGCTGTCAACAGAACGAGCATCGCCCGCATTGACTAGCGGTATGGTGAATGCGAAGATAGATAAACTGCGTGCGACCAGACAACTAAATCTCAGCGGTAGCTGATTCAGCGGGAACCAGATTAAACGCGATTGATTATTAAACTCTGCTAAATCTTCAATTAGATGAAGCCTATCACACATCAAAACTAAATATCATAAAAGTTTCAACTCATATAAGAAGACATGGAAAGAATTGAACATGGGGTGGGTTGCCACACACTGCGGAAGGAAAAACCGACGACATAATACGCACGGCCTGACTTGGAACCGCAAGGAAGGACGTCGCGGTAGGAAGGCCTTTCCCATGGAACCTGGGGGCGAGACTCGGAGCCCGGAAACTCAAAGAAGCGGGCTACACTGCGAGGAGATGAGCGGAAGGCGACCAAGCGAGCGACATGGAGAGAGTTTAAAAAAGATGACCTATGTCGCGTCCAGGAGCACTGAATCGGGCTTACAGATAAAACGAATTTCAGATTATTACCAAAATATACTTGAGTTCCGTACAGGAAATATATACACACACACACACATATAATATATATACTGATATATATATATATATAATATATTATCACCTAGATATATTAAGTGTGATGCCTGCGGTGGACTCGATTTCTAGTCGTGTATGAAGTGCTGCAGCCGCACATGTTCCCATTCTGTCTTCATTCGCATAGGCTTTTTCTCTTGATTTATGGAATAGTTAAAGGACCAGAGAATTGCAGTCAATATTGTTTAAAAAACGTTATCAAAAAGACAAAATACGTGCAGTGCACTGCATCTAAGGGGCAGGCAATTTCATTCTGAGAAATTCCAGCTTCGTTTTTTGTTGGTCCGTATAATCAATGAGTCATGCTTGCATTCAGTTTGCGTCATTATTCAGTGACAAATATTGTGTTTTGGATCGCAGAGAAGAATTGGATCGCATCTACAGCCAGTTCAATGAGTACGTGGCAACTGGAGACCATGTTGTGACTACCAAAGGAAAATACGAAACAACATTTCTTACACAGGTGCTTTCCGTCAGTATAACTAAAACCGTTTGTCGGCGCACAATTGAATATGTAGTAGATGTCTACTCAGAAAATTTGCTCAAATGATTGTCCAATTATAAAAGGCTGCATCTCTAGACTTGCATGTACGCTGAACTGCTTCAGTAGTGACGGAAGTATTGATAGTGTCAGGATCCATGCGATATTGGCTGTGCATACTCACGTGTCTGTTACCTTAACTTCAGCTACGATTAGTCGCTAAGCGAACAGCCCTCAATCTTGTCCGGAATCCTATGACTTCGTACTTTCAGGTAATAATTAGAAATAAGACGATATATCGATGTATCACGATACAAACTTTGATGTATCACAATACAAACCTCGATTATATACGTATTGATACGGTTGACCATTGACGGCACATGTATTTAATACTCTACTGAATAAAATCCTTATGATTTGATAGCATATAGTTGCTTCAGAAAAAAAAACATACAACACAATTCATAGTTCAATAGCAGTTGTTTACTAGGTGCTCCACGATACGGATTTGTAAGCATTAATTCACATAATTAGTACTTAAAGTACCATTTAAGCATATAGTTTGTGAGGTAGTTTCTCTTAAAAGTAGCGTATACGTATACGTATAGCATAATGAAAGTTGTATCGTGACACGGATTGTATCATGAGTTACTTGTATTGTCCCACCTCTAGAAATCATCACACCAAGTGTTGGGTTAGACGCTAAACGTGAGACATTGCTTAGTGATCTCGTAATGGCTCTTTCATTGCAATGATTTCCCAATCTGGTGGATTTTTTACTTGTTAAATGTCTCTTCTCGTTTCCCTTGCCAGCTTGCTACAATGATGATATTTGCCATAGCCGTAGGAATGCTGTTCTTCCAAGTGGAGTCGGATACGACATCCGGAATTCAGAACAGGTCTGTGCACTCTTACTCATAATAATTCATTATAGATCGAAGAAATCTTGGTAACTTTAAAAAATGAAGTTACTCCCCTTGCTAAATTTTAATTCACAAATGTCTTGCAATATCACTAGTTGACTATCCAAGAAATGGCCAAATGTCAATTTTAAAATAACCAATGATGAGATATAGACGTGTATATATTGCAAAGAAGGAACCACGGAAAACACTCAAATATAACTTACACGTGCGAAGCAAGGTGTATAGAGGCGGAACATTGTCATATAATTTTTCACTGAATTAGTTGCTATCTCGATGCTACATTTTTGCCATTGCTGTTGCTATCGATCTACTTTTGTTGCAGAACGGGAGCATTTTTTTTCATGGTGATGAACGTGATGTTTGGTAACCTTTCAACTGTGGAGCTTTTCCTCAACGAACGACACATATTTATGTAGGCAGTGCCACATGTTTCGTTGTTTTAGTTGGCAGCTGTAAGTCGGGATGGTAGCCATTACAAGAACGCAGATAAGAGAGGGGTTGGAGTACACCCAGAGATGATATTTTAGAGAGAATGTTTGCTATTTGATAAATTCTGACTATTTTATTATTTTGAAGTACTTTATTTGATATTAACTGAGACACGATATACTGGAGCTTCCTGCGTGCAGTCTCAAAAAAGTGTCATAGCCCTCTGGATCCCTACCCCTTCTGTTTCTACCCTTGCTCTCCGAAGCCATTTCGCGGCACGAAATCCGCGTCGGTGTAATATCTGTGTGTGTCGTTGTATACAGACACGAGACAATCAGTGGATTCTATCGCGTTTCCGCGTACTTCCTCGCAAAGCTGTTCTGTGACATACTGCCGATGCGTATCGTACCCACGACCCTGTTTGCCACCATAACATACTGGATGGTCGGTAAGTATGACGAATGTTGCCGAACGAAGCACACACAATTTTTCCTGCAAACTGCTAGTTTTACTGATACGTATGGTACTCCTCCGAGACAATTAACATATCTTCATATCTAATAATATATATATATATATATATAGAGAGAGAGAGAGGTGTATATATTATGCATTATATTATAGTAGGTAGTATATATATTATCTAAATCTAATATGAGAAATAATATACAGTTATCTAAACTAGTTTCACACTGGTATGTGAGTGAGCTATATATCACGTTGTACGATTAAACAAACTACTCATTGCTCGCACTGATAAGTACCAACCTTACAAAGCACGAGTGCAGTTGCTCGACGCTGCGATGACCACGACATTCTATCTCCGCTGCAGGTTTCCAGTCCGATGCCGGCAAGTTCTTTTTCTACATGCTGGCGCTGCTGACAACTACGGTGGCGGCCTCTAGCCTCGCGTTCCTGATGAGCGCCAGCGTGGGTGTGTTTGCCCTCGCCAGCATGGGCGTGGCCCTCACCTTCGTCTTCAGCATGGTGCGTTTGCTCGATCGGCCGCTAGGGGGCGTGCGGCAGCGTTAGGCTTGCGCTGTGAGCTTCCTCTGTAGTCACTGTGCAGTAGATGTGTTGTTCTGATGTAGTCACGTAGTAGTTGTCGTGTAGTTTAATGTAGTTACACGTGGTTACCTATAACGTAGTTGTTAACGAGGTTTACGTTTGTAGGTATTCAGTGGGCTGCTAGTGAACCTGGACACGATGGCCGGATGGCTGAGCTGGATCCAGTTCTTCAGCATCTTCCGCTACGGCATGAACGTGAGTGAAGCCGTCTCTCTCTCTGCCATGTACTCGCCCCGCTATCGGCACTGAACGTGAGAGGGGGGGGGGTGGGGGGGCTGGCAGCTCTTCTCTACCATGTATCTCCTCCGCTACGGCATGAACGTGAGTGCAAGCCTCTCTCTCTCCATGTATCTCCCCCCCGCTGACGGCAATGAACGTGAGTGGGCAGCCTCTCTCTCTCTCCATGTATCTCCCCGCTACGGCTGAACGAACCGCAGCTGAAAGTGAGCAGGCCCCCTCTCTCTCCATCTATCTCCCCCGCTACGGCATGAAACGGGTGAGTGGCAGCTCTCTCTCCATTCTGGATCTCCCCTGCTGCCGTTTGACTTAACTGAACGTGAGTGGCAGCCTCTCTCGTCGTACCATGTAATCTCCCGACCCCGCTACACGGCATGAACGTTGAGTGCAGCTCTCTTATGCCCACGTTTATTCGTACTCACTGCCGCTATGGCGCATGAAAAGGCGTACGGTGAAGCTCATGCATCTCCTAGCAGTCTAATCTTCTTGCCCGCCGCTGGAGTGTGGATTACGAGCACGGTGGAGATCAGCTATTTGAAGTGACCACCTCTCTTCTCGCATCTATCTCCCCTCGCTGCCGCATGATTACGTGAGTGCAGGGGCCTCTCTCTCCATCTTATCCTCCCATGCTACCCCGCATGAACACGTGGACGTTGCAGCCCTTCTCATCTTCATGTATCTCCCCCCGCGCTACGGCATGAAACGTGAGTGCAGCCTTCGTCCCTCTCATGGAATCTCCCCGCTAACGGCATGAACGTGAGTGCCGCCTCTCCTTCTCCATATCTATCTGCCCCGCTAAGACAACGGCAAGTGAACGTGAGGTGCAGCCTCTGCTCGTCACATCGATCTGCCCCGCTACGGCATGAAACGTGAGGCAGCCTCTCTCTCTCGCATGTAATCTCCCGCGCTACAAGACATAGGCGTTGACGTTATGCATTGAAAAACGATGAGTGGCACGGTGTCTATCTCTCACAATCTATCTCCCGCTGCTACGGCATGAACCGTGAAGTGCACCTCCTCTCGCTCCATCTATTCGCCCTGCTACGAGCATGAACGATGAGTGCCATGCCCTCTCTCTCTCCATGTATTCTCCACCCGCATACGACATGAACGAGTGCAACCTCTCTTCCCATAGTATCTCCTCCCTCTACGGCATGAACAGTGGTGCAGCCTCTCTCGTCTCATGATTCTCCCCCGCTACGGCATGAACGTTCACGTGGCAGCCTCTCTCTCTACACTATATCTCCCCTAGCACGGCATGAAACGTGAGTGCTAGCCTCTCTCCGTCCAGTATCTCCCCCGCTACGGCATGAACGTGGAGTGCAGCCTCCTCTCTCCATGTATCTCCCACCGCTACGGCATGAACGTGAGTGGCAGGCCTAATGCCTCTCATCGCAATGTATCTCCGCTCCGCGTACCGGAGCGCATGAACGGCGAAGTGCAGGCCTCTCTCTGCAATGCTATTGATGCTCCCACCGCTACGGCAATGAACGTGAGTGCAGCCTCTCTGCTCTACCATTATCTCCACCGCTACGGCATGAACGTGAAGTGGCATGCCTCTCTCTCTCTGCATGTATGCTCCCCAGCCGCTAACGGGGCATGAACATGAAGTGCAGGCTTCTCTCCACATGTATCCTCCCCCGCTACGGCATGAACGGGAGTGCAGCCTGTCTCTCTCCATGTATCGTCCCCTGCCTACGGCATGATCACGTGAGTGCAAGCCTGCCTCTGCCTCTCCATGTATCTCCGCCGCTACGCGCATGAACGGGTCGAGTGCACCATCTGCTCTCTCCCATCTATCTCCTCTGCTACGCATGAACGTGAAGTGCACGCCTGCTCTCTCACATGGTATCTCGCCCCCCGCTACGGCATGAACGTCGAGTGCAGTCTCGTTCGTCTCTCTCGAAGAGTATCGTCCCCGCTACGGCATGAAACGTGAGTGCAGGGCCTCGGTCTCTCTGCCATCTACTCCCCTGCTACAGCAATGAACGTGAGTGCAGCCCTCTCTTCCATAGTAATCTCCCCGCGCTAGCGGCATGAAACGTTCAGTGACAGTCTCTCTCTCATTCGTCCATCTATCTCGCCCCGCTACGGCATGAACGTGAAGTGCAAGCCTCTCTCTCTCCATCTATCTCCCTGCTAACGCATCGAACGTCGAGTGCAGCCTCTCTCTCCATGTATCTCCCACGCTAGGGCATGAAACGTGAGTGCAGCCTCCTCTACGCTCCAATATGTAAATCCTGCCCTGCTACGGATGTAACGTGGAGTGGCTAGAGTCTCTCTCTCTCTCTCCTATGGATAATCTCCTACACCCGCTACGCATGAACGTGCGAGTGCATGGCCTAATCTCTTCCCAATGTAATGGCTAACGCTCCGCTACGGCATGAACGGGAGTGCCAAGGCCTCTCTCTCCATGTATCTCCCGCATACGGACAGGTGAAGGGAGTGCAGGCCTGTCTCTTCGTCCATGTATCTCCGCCTGGCTTACGCGCATGAACGGCGAGTGAGCTCTCTCTCTTCATGTATCTTCCCCGCTACGGCATGAACGTGAGTGCAGCCTCTCTCTCGCTCCATCTATCTGCCCACTCCTCCTATCATGTCACATGTATCCGACTTCTCCTCGCCTTTTCTTATTAGTATACGTCCTTACATGAACGTCAGTTATGATGTGTCCTGTCGTCTTTATCTAAACGTGTTCTTCAGACGTGCCTCAGCTTTGCTCTAAAGCAAGAGTCCAATCGATTCCGACAATTGAGGTTTTTCGATTGCTAGTGTACACTTAGGTACATGTGATGTCTTAATCTGTGATAATCAGCCTTACAACAGAAGCAGTCAGTCGTTTCAGGGTCTTTGAGGAAAACAATGGTTTGCACTACCATAGTGTCCTTGGTTGAAAAAAAAGAAGCGAATATAGAAAATGTGGGGATGCGAAGCGAAATATTGAGCCTGTACATGTACTAAATGAAATGTGTTCCTGTTTGGATGTACTATTCCCCAGGCGCTCCAGGTGAATGAGCTGGCTGATCTGCTGCTGTGTGATACTGTAGAGAACGCGCTAAACCGAGCACAATGGTAAGCCACTAGACATGACTTATACATATACATCATAACACTGCCAAGCTTAAGCCCATAGCCAGAATACGTGCGATATATAACTCCTACTATCGCTGCCCTGCCTCGACTTAATGAAGGTACGCTGGTAAAAGCTCAAATATTAGCTTGCAAGCATCCACTGTCGGTTATAGCTGTAGCAGGTGGTGCCATCTGTTGGAAAGCTGAGAACATGAGCTTGCCGGCTTCACGCAGGCCGCAGATAAAACTACAGCGGTCTGAAATAGCTTCCATTTTTGAAACACGTATTCTCCTCCAACCACCAGGTTCAATAGTTTCATACCTAGTTTTAGCATTGCGTAGTTCATAGGATTTTTGTTTTGATGATGAAGCTGCTGTAATTCATAGCAATTCAAACTTTGAAATCTGAAGAACCGTCAGTCTGCGCCACATTTTTGCCAAGTTTTAGCGGCCGAAATCCACACAGATTGCTCTAATGGCAGCGCATGAACTCACCTGTTGCGATATATAGAGCTGCCGACTTTCTTTCCCTCCGGGAACAGCCGCGGTGGAGGACGCAATAATGCACTGCGCCTAAGATAAAATATTGCTTGTTTCCCCTTTACCGACCGACTCGCCAAAACGCCGCTACTCGACACATTTTATTGGCCGATTAAAACAAAACAAAATTCATTTCGTTTCGCAAAAAAAAACAACATATACACAAAACAGAATATACAATATACATACACACATCTTGTCAAAACAAAATAAAAAAGATTTTTCACCTACCTACCTACTCGGTACACTGAGAGGCGAGTAGGTAACGGGGAAACAAACAATTTTTTAAGGGTGGCCCTAGACGCAAAACAGATCGCAGTGGGTAACGTCTCTAGTTTTTCCTACCTCGCGACGTCATCCGTAGCTGGTGGCGCCACCTGTATAACCACTGGGAAACGTCTCTCGGGGAAGGAAGAGGACGCTCTCGGCATGTTAATGCCGGGCTCTGAGGCCAAGCGCAACACCAGGGTTTTTTCTGAGGGAAAATTAGACAACGGAGCTAATGGCCAGTTTGGGCGAAAAACGCGCATAATGGATTCAAAGACGTGTTTGCGCGTCTCGAGGAGCTAGGAAAGCGAGCACCGCAGGAGCTCGCCCAGCTAGGGGGGTACGAGGGCGGGTAAATACAGGAACATTTTCACAACGGGTGATGTTAAATTTGACAACGGCGGGGCGCCACTGTGCCTCTTATGTAGAAGGAAACCCTGAACACGGAGGACTCCTCTCTCTCGGGGAGGAGGTGACGAGGTGGGTGTTAACGCCGCGTCTCGTTTCTCGCTGCAGCGCGGACCTGCTCGGCGTGGCAGACGACGCCGGCGGCGGCAACGCGACGATGACGACGCCCTCGGCGATGGTGTGCACCCTCGGCAACGTCTACCTGAAGAAGCAGGGCATCGCCTACGAGACGTCGTGGGACCTGTGGCAGAACATCGCCGCGCTCGCGCTCATCACCCTCGTCCTGCTCTGCCTCGCCTACGTGCAGCTGCGCCGCGCGGTCAGGTTCCGCTGACCGCCTCACCTGCACAGGTTCCGCTGACCACCTGCTTGCTGCGCGGTCAGGTTTCGCTGACCGCCTCGCCTGCTTGCCGCGCGGTCAGGTTCCGCTGACCGCCTCGCCTGCTTGCCGCGCGGTCAGGTTCCGCTGACCGCCTCGCCTGCTTGCCGCGCGGTCAGGTTCCGCTGACCGCCTCACCTGCACAGGTTCCGCTGACCGCCTCACCTGCACAGGTTCCGCTGACCGCCTCGCCTGCTTGCCGCGCGGTCAGGTTCCGCTGACCGCCTCGCCTGCTTGCCGCGCGGTCAGGGTCCGCTGACCACCTCACCTGCTTGCCACGCGGTCAGGTTCCGCTGACCACCTGCTTGCTGCGCGGTCAGGTTCCGCTGACCGCCTCGCCTGCTTGCCGCGCGGTCAGGTTCCGCTGACCGCCTCGCCTGCTTGCCGCGCGGTCAGGGTCCGCTGACCACCTGCGCCCGCCGCTTGCCGCGGTCAGGTTCGTGACCGCCGCTCACCTGCACAGGTTCCCTGCACGCGCCTCCTGCTTGCGCGCGGCTCAGGTTCCGCTGACGTCGCCGTTCGCCTGCTTTGCCGCGCGTCAGGTTCGCGCTTGACCGGCCTCGCTCTGCTTGCCGCGCGCTCAGTCCCGCTGACCCGCCTCACCTGCACAAGGTTCCCGCGCGACACCCTCCGCTCTGGCTGCTTGCCGCGCGGGCTCAGGTTCCGCCTGACCGCGCTCACCTGCAACAGGTTCCGCTGACGGCCGGCCTCGCCTGCTTGCCGCGCGCCGTCAGTTCCGCTGACCGCTCTCGCCTGCTTGCCGCGCGGTCAGGTTCCGCTGACGCGCTCTCGGCCGACTTGCCGCGGCGGTCAGGTTCGCTGACCGGCCTCAGGCTGCAACAGGTTCCGCTGACCCCACTCGGCCTGTCTTGCGCGCGGTCCAGGCTCCCGCTGACCGCTCACAACACGCCTGCCTGTCCGCGCGGTCAGGTTCCGCTGACCGCCTGCACCTGCCACAAGGTTCGCGCTGACCTCCCCTCGCCTGCCGTGCCGCGCGGTCCAGTTCCGCTGACCGCCTCGCCTTGCTTGCCGACGCGGGTCAGGTTCCCGCTAACGCGCCTCGCCTGCTTTGCCGCGCGTCAGGTTCCGCTGACCGCCCTCGCCTGCTCTGCCGCGCGGATCAGTTCCGCTAACCGGCCTCGGCCTGCTTGCCCGCGCGGTCAGTTCGCGCTAAAAAACGCCTCACCTGCTTGCCCGCGCGGTCAGGTTCGCTGACCCCTCCAGCTTGCCACGCGGTCAGTTTCCGCCTGACCGCCTCGCCTCGCTTGCCGCCCGCGCTCCGGTTCCGCTGACAGGCGCACTCGCCTGCCTTGCCGGCGCGGTCCAGGTTCCGCTGACTGCGCACCCTTGCCTGCTCCTACCAGCTATTTAGTGCGCGACACATTAAAATGCAATGTGTTTTTATCTTGCCTTACTACTGTATGCGCTTCATGTTAGAAATAGGACTGTAAAAACTCCAATTTTGTCTTCACATGAGAGTCAATCTCGAATCGGCAATTGCCGGTGGTGATTAGAGGAATTTTGTGATAATTAAACTTTGTTTGTGCGTGGGTACGAGCGACAGATTGTAATTTTCTTATGTTCAATGCGATTACAACAGAATTGTGATGTTACTAATGCAGCTGCCAAGTACAGCTGGTGAGAATAACACGCCTTGCCATTGTTGGTGGGTGTTTGGATACAGACAAATAAAGCCAGTAACAAATTCGATATCATTATCTCTACATACATTTTTATGTATTTTTCATATTTTTGTCAATATTTAACGTTTAGACACCATAGTAGACAATGTGCCGGTAGCGATCATATCAAGATCATACCGTGTGGATATGTAGTAACTACATAAACATATATATATATATATATATATATATGTTATATATAATATATATATATATTTACTGTTGCTGGTAACAGATGTTCACGGTAACTGTAAAATATGGCCATATGATATGAACAATAAAAATGACATTATAATGCCCCTTGTTTACTGCACCTCATGACTAGGAAAACCCTACATAGAGTATAAACTACAAATAACTGATAAAAATTTAGCCTGGTTAACGATGAACTCCAAAAAGTACATACCAAAACATTGATTGTGGTAAAACGCCATTTAAATAAATGTCGATGATACATTATTTAAAACCTGGACTAAACTACATGTAATAAACATAATGGACACCAACTGTGTGAGCTTTGCTCGCTCAGTATATACCAGCCGAGATTCTCTCATGATTGAACGAGACAAAAATGTCTCGCAGTTTCTCAACAAGATAAACCATTTTTTCGACGCATGTCTGAATCGAATACGCAGATCTACATCGTGACTAGACTGACGAATCGTTCTCCACTTGGGGATTAAACACAGGAGATTGACGATGCGAAATTTGACATGCACCGATCTACACCAGCTTTTCTTTCGCGCCATTAAACAACCTATGACTACATTTCCTTCCACTTACTCCACCGCACAACAATTACACACAACAAACAGAAACGCGTGCCGACACGAAGAGTCGCACGTACCCGACCTGGAATGGAATCGCTAAGGAATGGACGCCGCCGGCCCGGCGCCGTCGCATGGCTACTTTGCGTGTTTCGTAGTAACGCGGCCCCGGTGGCTATGGCGATGTTGTCCCCAAACTCACTCGGCATGTAGTCCATCAGCCACATGAAGTCAGTATATAGCACTGCAACACGATAATACTGTAAGCACTCGTCAACATGAATAATACGATATAAGCAGCTGCAACACAATAATACTGTATACTAGGCGATGCCAACAGCGATAATACTATATAGCGTGCAACACCGATAATCACGGTAATTAGCAACTTACAAACAGATAATACGTAGTAGTATAGCCGATGTCAACACGATAATACGGTATAGTAGCGATGCAACATGATAAACTGTATATAGCACTGCAACACGATAATCAGTGCGGGGGTAATATAGCCGATGCAACACGATAATACGTATATAGCGATGCACCCCACGATAATACTGTTATATACAGCTGCAACATGATAATGACGTATATAGGCGATGGCAACCCATGATAATCGGTATACTTAGCGATGCTAGACACGATAATGACGGTATATAGCGATGGCAGACATCCGATAATACGGTATATAGGAGATCAACATGATAATACGGTATACTAGCGATCCAACACGTATAATCCGTATAGATAGCGTCACATGATAAGACGGTAATATAGCGATGCAACACGATAATACGGTATATAGCGATGCAACAGCGATAATACGGTCTATACAGCACTGCAACACAGATAATACGGTATATAGCGATGCCACAGCACAGCGATAAACAGTATATAGACTGGCAACATTGATCAAATACGGTAGTATATGCGATGGCAAACACGATAATACGGTATATACAGCCCTGCAACCCGATAATACGGTATATAGCGATGTCATTACACCGATAATACAGTAGTATAGGCAGCTGCAACATGATAATACGGTATAGTAGGCGATGGGCAACACGATAATAGGTAAATAGCGATGCAACACGAAATACGGTATATAGCAACTGGCAACATGATAATACAGTAATATCAGCACTGGCAACACGAAAAATACCTGATATAGGCGATTGTAAACACGAAATACTGTATACTAACGATGCAACACGATAATACTGTTATAAGCACTGAACACGATAATACTGTATATAGGCGATGCATCACGATAAGACGTATATATACGATGCAACAGCGATAATACGGTATATTAACGAGCAACACGATAATACGCTGTAATATCAAGGCGATGCAACGACACGATACTACTTATATATACGCGATGCAACACGATAATACTGTATTAACGATGCAACACGATAATACTGTAATATAGCACTGAAACACGATAAACGGAGTATATAGCGATTGGCAACACGATAATACTGTATATAACATTGCAACACGATAATACTGTATATAGCACTGAAACACGAATAATACGGTATAGTAGCGATGCACACGATAAAGCGGTATATAGCACTTCACACCGATAATACTGTATATAACATGGCAACACGATAATGACGTATATAGCGATTAAGCTACGATAATACTGTATAATAGCGATGCAGGACTGATAATCACGGTATATAGGCGATGCAACATGATAATAACGTAAATAGCGATGCAACACGATTAAACTGTATATAGCGATGGCAACACGATAATACGGTAATAGCCGATGCAACACGAAATACGGTATATAGCGATGCAAAAACGATAATTACGGTATATAGCACTGCAGAACGATATAAGCGGTATATACCGATGCAACACGACACACATACGGTATACTAGGCACTGCAACACGGCGATAATACGGTAAATACATGCAACAATGATAATACGGTATATAGACTGCAGAACGATAATACGGTATCTAGCACTGCCAACCATGATAATACGTATATAGGGCGATGCATACACCATAATACGGGTATATAACGATGCAACACGATAATACTGTATATAGGGGCGATGCAACACATAAACGGTTATATATGCGGATGCAACACCATAATGACAAGTATATAGCGATGCAACACGATAATACCTGTATAGCGATGCAACAACGATAATACGGTATATAGCGATGCAGGCACGAATAATACGAGTAAAAAAAATATAGCGATGCAACACGATAATACGGTATATAGCACTACAAACAGCGATAATACGGTATATAGCGACTGCTAACACGATAATACTTCTATAGCACTGGCAACGCACGATAATACGGTATAGAGCGATGCAACACGATAATACGGTATATAGGCGATGGCAACACGATAATAACTGTATTAGCGATGCAACACGATAATACTGTATATACACTGCAACATGATATACGGTATATCAGCACGCAGACAAC